GAACCAAGAAATTCAGATTTTATGACGCATAAAATTCAAGAATGGTGTTTAAATTGCTCGGAAATTTTATACTTTGAACAAATTTTTTATAGTAATAAATATTTATATCTTCGAAATAATCGCAATGCGTGTCTTCTATGTGGAAAAGGTTTATATAATGGAGATATATGTCCTAATTGTTATTTGATTTCTAATGGACGGGCAGAATCAACATTCATTAAAAAATCAATTCTAATATTTTGTTTGCCATTGTGGGATGGCAGAAGCTATTGTATAAGCTGTAAATTAGAACTAAATTTTGTAACAGATTGTCAAAAGTGGTGTTCATGTTGTTTTATCATGTATGTGGGATGTAGATATTGTTTAACGACAAATATTATAATTGGAATTACCGATAAATCTCAGTGTAGGAAATGCAAGAGAGTAGTATCAATCACTATTGATGTCTCAAATTTTGTCAGTGGAAGTTCTATTATAGATGAATTTATCTCTTATATAAAATTTAACAGCAGTAGCAAAATTGCTGATCAAATAATTAATAACAATTTATTTAATTTATTTAGACTTGATAAATATTTTAATATGCCACCAATGGAATGGATTCCATATTCTCAAATTACAAGTTTAAGAAAAATAGCGGAAGGAGGATATGGTATAGTTTATCGAGCAACTAGATTTAATCCTTATAAAAATACGATTGAATTTGTTGCGATAAAAAGAATCTTGCACTCTCAAACTATCAGCAAAAGTTTTTTAAATGAGGTAATTATTTAATGTTACTTTTATATGACGTTTTTACTTTATATTAAATTTTTACTATGATAATAATTTTAGTTAAAATCGCTATATCATTGTACCGATACTTCGATGTACGTAAAAGTTATTCGATGCTATGGAGTTACACAAGATCCTGAGACAAAAGAGTTTATGATAATAATGATGTATGCAGAAGGAGGGGATTTGCATAATTGTTTACAAAAATATTTTAAAGATATTACATGGGATGATAAATTACGTATTTTACGTAATATTTCACAAGGGTATTTTAAATATTTAATACAATTTATAATGTTGATTAAATATTAATTAATATAACGTATACATACTTTTTTAGACTTCGTGATATTCATAAAAAAGATTTTATACATCGAGACCTTCATAGTGGAAATATATTAAAATCTGGTTTGTGTTGGTGTATTGGAGATTTAGGACTATCACAACCCGTAGAAGATTCGCTAAATAATGAAATATATGGTGTTATACCTTATATAGCATCTGAAGTATTTAAGGGTGTTAAGTTTTCAAAAGAATCTGATATTTATAGCTTAGGAATGATTATGTGGGAATTAACATCAGGTTGTAAACCTTTTGCCAATGTTGAACATAATATTAACCTTATATATGAAATTATTGATGGAAAACGACCAGAAATTACTCAAGATACTCCCGAATGCTATGCTAATTTAATGAAAAGATGTTGGGATCCTGATCCTTCAAAAAGACCTTTAATTGCAGAAATTTATAGTATATTTATTGGATTGAATTCTTTCGATCACGAATTTTTTCAAGCTGAAATAAAAAGGTTGGAATTAATTCAATCAATGGAACTTGGTCCCGGATTTAATGGAATTCATCCAAAAGCAATTTTTACAAGCAGAGCATTAAGCTCTTTGATTTTGAAAACTTCATCCATAAATTTATCTATGGAAAATGTATATAATACAAAACAAGGTATTTGTTTAAATGATTCGAATTATCGAAAAGATACAATTAATTATTGTTTACTGATATGATTTGCTTAGAATATTCAGAGTATATTTCAACAGAATATGATCTTGATATAAGGTATTTATTGAAATTATCATAGAAACAGAGCAATATAATATTTACTTTATTTACTATAATACTTTAGGTCATCTTTATTAAATGTGGATCCTGCTAGTCAAAATTCTTCAAATATCCAACGTTCAAAGGCAGTTAACATTAATATATCATCATGTACATATAATTCAATCAACAATTCTTCAAAAAAGCGTGGAATTGAAGAACTAAAAATTGAAAATATAAATAATAAAAGTAAGTTAACTTATTATAATCATACACAATATTTAAAAATTATATTACACATGATATAAATTTTTTATTTTTTAAAATAATTAGGGAAACTTTAAATTAAATGAGGTATTGAGTAAGAGAATAACGCGAGTTATTTAATAAATGACGAATTATCTTTCAATTTTTAAAAATAATACCAAAGAGAAAAACTATAATGTTACAATCACTTATTGATTTATTGATCTTTCCGTAATAACTTTATAGATTACAATCAAATCGGTGATTTAATGAACTTATAATAAATAAGTCAAAAAATTAAAATTTTTCTGAACGCGCAATAAATCAGATTCAAATAATTTTTTAAAAAATTCATCATGGTCCATATTTTGCTGTGGTAGTCTCCTAATTAAGAAGAGAATTTTAATTTGTATAAGTATACCATGAATATAAATATTTACAATAAAGCTAAATAATAAGCAAGTAATTTTTCTTGATTGAACAATGTGATTGTCCGAAGCGTAAGCTTAGGACCCTTCTGTTTGAGTTCATAACATGCATCGAACGCTTAACGGTGCCCGTTTCCTAGTATAATTATATTAAATATGTTAAAAAAATTTTGAGTCCATGGTTGCGGTTATTGATATCAAAATTGAAATAAAAAATAAAAAGTTTTAACAGATTTAAAACCTGAGTCAGCTCGCGCCTTGGGCCACTATAAATAGTCTCATGTATTTTCAATCTGGCTCATTCCGAGCTGACTTATAAAGCCTTAGCTTTGTTAATAACATTATCAAAGTAGTTTATTTCTTATCTCCTACATTAATCTAACGATGAATTAGCTGAGAAATGGTTAGAAAACCGGTAAATAACGGAATCTATCAAGGAAAAGTAAGTTTCATTATTAAAAAACTTTTCTTTTATCCGAAGCGTTGAATTCGCTTTTGGAGAGTTTCTCTCGTGGTTGAAATCGTTTTCGAAATGATAGGATACTTCTTCAGATCATTTTCTTTCATGAGAAACATTTTCAAAGTGTCACCTCCTGAAGGGTTTCATTACATTCCGCGCAGTGATTGAAATTGAAGTTTTAAGTATAATTATACTGTTAAAGGTTTAATTTCATTTAAAAAAAAAGAATTTTGTTAAATGAATAAATTTCATAGAACAAATCAACTCAACTGAAATTTAATTTTTGAAATATTATTTTGAGTCAATAAAATAGAAAATAAATCCATCGTTATATTATTAAGTATTTAATTGGTGCTCTCAAAACTTGGTCATCATAATATTTTCAAGAAATTCAATAAATTGAAATTCAATTTGCGTTGGAAGGATCATGGAAGTTTGAAATGATTTAGCCATTTATAAGGCATTCATGCACGCTAACCAAAGTGAATACTATTGTCATAATATATATTTGAAGGTTTCATACAAACTCGAGTTAGAACTATTGGTGTCCGATCATTCCCTAACAACTGAATGAACTGAACCACGCACGTGTAAAATTTGTTGATCCTTATTACTTTATCATTCCTTAGGATTATTTTTTAGACAGTCATCATTCTCAGTAACGATTTTGGCTGATAGTCCTTTCATAGATCTAACGCTAAACGTTAATCATATTGATAAATGAGAATCGTAATAAAATAGTAACTCACTTTAATCGACGTAAGAATATTTTAATGGCAAATTTCTAAAATTTTTCTTTTGTTGGATATCTTCATTTCGCGTGTTTTATTATTTAGATTAAAAAATGGTTCTTACACGTATCTATTAAAAAAGATTTATGGATTATAAAAAATAAAGGTAATAATGTCCACTTTACTCATATTTAAATATAACGAAGGATGCAAAATCATCCACAACTAAAACGCCAGGTCAAGACCAAAAACAAGTGCCAGCTCATTCGCAACCTTTTTCACATAATTTTATTTATACCATCTGCGCAAGTAATATCTATTTAAAACACAGTTGTATCATGATCTTAAACGTCAATTGTAACAATTTCGTATGCCACTTCACTTCACTAAAACATGACATGCTACGCAATTTGAATTTCGCAATTTCACTGTCGTTGGTTCAGGCCATTGATTAGGCGGGATAAAGGGGATTCAATAAAATCAAGATCCATCGACTCTGGCCACCTAAGAAGTTGAGAATGAACAAAGGGAGATTAAAAATAGGGAGGGTAAAGTGGAGTGGAAGAAGAAGAAGCGGAGGGAGTTGAAGAAGGAGAACGATATAAAGTTGTATTAGGAATAGAAGAAGGAAGAAGAGAAAGAGCAGGATGTAAATGCGAAGTAGTTAATGAAATGGGGGAAGGAAAGGAAAAGGAGGAGAAACGTTTGGATATAAAAGAAATCGAAGAAGTAGGAGTGAGAAAGTAGGTGGAGTAGGATAAGTCGGAGAAGTAAGAGAGTAGGTAAAGTAGCTGTGGGTTAAGTAGGAGAAGTGGAAAAAGGAGGAGATACAGGAAAAGTAGAAAAAGTAAGTTAGGAAATAGGAAATGTGGGAGGAAATTAGAAAGAAGAAGCATTTGAAGGAGCAGTTGAAGTAACTAAGGGGGGAATGGAAGGAAAGTTGAAGATGTCGTCTTGACGCAACAACAGGACGATTGACACCTTTAACGCGAACCTGCCAAGTTTTCGGATCACCACTAATAATTTTTTTTTTTTTAATAAAAAAATTTATTGAGTTTAATTACAGTAAAAAGTAAGTTCTCTCTAATATTTAAATTATAAATTTAGTTAAGTTTAAATACTAAAAATCAATAAAAATAATTTAATTAAATGGAGGCGGTCAGTAGAAATGGGGAAATCCACTTTTTAGTCAAAAATTTTTTATTGGTTCACTCTTCTGATTATGGTCATGTGAACAAAACTAAAATATTAAATATTATCAATTAAAATATTTACAGTAAAAAAAGGTATTACAAAAACAGTTTTCAAATCATTTTCATAACGTTTACGAATTTCTTTAATCAGGATTTAACGTGCAGTGATTTACAAAAATGAACAATAAAAATCTGCGCAAGACTTTACCAAATTTTGTAAGTATCGCGCCATTTAAATTGCTTATTATTTTTGCAGAATGAATCCTCTATTTAATTTTTTATTTCGCAAATTAATTTTAATAACTAAATACTTATCATTTCTTTTCTAGAATATACATTTTATCATTTTTTTCGAAACTTATTTTTGGGGGATGATGCATTTATTAAATTAATATTCCATAATAAAGTATTTATTTTTTTTTCAAATAAATGATGTTTTTGAACGTTTCAATAGAATGATTCATTGAATTGATTCAATATTTTGAATATTTAATTATAATACGAACTAAACACCTCTAATCTAGAGTTATATTTCTGTCGTTCACGTCTTTTTTTTTGAATCATCTATTTTAATTTACTAACTTCATAATATATAAAATTAAATTGCACCTCTTAGATATACTTGCGATCACAGAATCAATGAATTATTTATTTATTTTTTAATGATCGAAGAAGACATTATTTTTTCCGGGTCACGGATCTGAAGTACACATTGGGAGTTTGCGAACAACGTAATTCATATGATCCGTAAGGTGATTTTATAGCTTACCTCCCATTTCTTTTCCTTTTGTCGCTTTAAACCGGTATTTGGCATCATTTCATACTTTCAAGGATAATTTATTTTTTGAGGTATTGTAGGAATTAAAACATAAAGTTACACAGAATTTATTTTATAATTTAAAATGAATTGCTGCGGATGTGATAATATTAGTTTTCTTCATCTTTATTACCAAAACGTAATGGAGGACACGATCATGCAAGTTGGATTGGTCAGCTTGATGATCTGAGTTACATAATTTCGCTTCGGATATCCCGTTTCCTTGTTTATGTTTATTATAAAAAAAAAGGAAACAACGTTTGTTTAAAATAAAAAATTTAAATTTAAAAAACAATTAGGTACTCTAGTTGATATGATGACCTACGAGAAGATTGATTCCCATTTTATTTTGGTATGGTATTCTTTCTTGGTTTTTTGTTTTTTGATAAATCTGAAATTTTAGTTTTCATTACTGACAATATTCTCCTCCCTTTAATATTAATTACTTCAGTTTTTATTACTTCTTGCTGATAAATTTCCTTGATCCTCTTCAATCCATCCATATATGCTTAGTTTATTCTTATTAGTTCTTCTTGGTTCAATTGAGGTGGAGAGTTTTTTTTGATTGGGTCATAATTAATAGGATTATCCATTTCAAATGCTTCTAATAAATCATGCACTAATTTCCATAATAGTTCAATATAATTATTCATGTTACGATCCTTTTATTGATATATATAAGTACCTAGAATTTTATTTAATAATGTATCTATTCGATTTCTTTCTTCTTGAGTTGCTTTAGTTTGTAACTCTAAGTTTTCTTGATCACACGAATTTCCAGTAATATTCTGCTTAATATAAGTAACGCCGTGAGTTTCTAACGCTTCATTAAAAGCAGGATAATGTTTTTCTCTTGCTAAATTTATTGAAGCACAAAGATGAAGTTTTTTTCTAACAGTTGATATTTTTCTAAATTTGCAAGAAAATGTGTAACAGAAGTGGCATAATTACTTTTTTTCGTGGCAGGAAAAAGTGAAGCAAAAGCTACTAATCCAAATTTTTGTAATTCATAATTTTCACAGTGTATTCTAGTAAGATGTGTTTTTCATATTGTAAACCATTCATAGTATAAGTACCATATTTTTAAGCATATTCTCTCATTTGCAGGACAAGATAATATCTCTTCAATTTTAACCTTGCTTTTTTATAAGTATATATTAATGGCTATTTTAATCGCAATCCAGATTAGTTCTAAAATCCTTTTCATAGATTAGTAGTCAATAACAGCTGCAAGTTTATCCAAAAATTTACACCTAAAGCTGTAGCCAAATCGTATTTTCCATAATTTAAGAATAATGTAATCAAGACACTCATTATGGCCTTTGAGATGTGCTACTGACCAAGAATAGGCCATATATTTTTGATTTATTATAGCATTTAATTAATCATCTGAATATCGCCTCATTTACACAAATATCTAGAAAATCATTCTCATCTAAAAAAAAATCTTTTCTATACATTTCTGTAGCATGTAAAATTTCATTATCATCATTTAGAGATCTGCTTAGTTCTAATATAACTACGTTTAGAGGTAGAAGATTTCAATTAAACTCTGTCTGTCTTAATATTTCTGAATTTATTACTGTAAGATCAATTTTATTATATTCTAGTTTTTATCTTTTATTGTACTGAAATGTTAATAAATTACAAAAATTTCATTTATTTTAAAAATAATATCATGCATTTCTTTTGATATTCCAAAGATTTGTGTATTGATATTTAACTCTCGTATTAGTTCTGGTTTTTCACTAATAACTTCTGGTAACAAAAACTGAAATACCATCCTTAATGTAGCGTATGATATACCTTAAGTTACATCATATATATTTCTAAATTGGAAGCTTCTTTCTTTGAAATTGATATTATTAATCACAGCTAAATTAAAGACATTTTTTTAGTTAATAACCATTTAGAAGTGTCTGCACTTTTCATTCATATTTTTTCCAATCTTCGTTCATGTCTATTTGTATGATCAATAATAGAACATTTGGTCAAGAGGTCATGCAATGAAGATAATAATTTTTGGTCATCAACATAATGAAGCTAATATATTTGGTAACCACAAATTTAAGTATAGAAACATAAAATTGATTAGAGTTAAGATTAATAAAAAAAAGAAGATGGTTGATTTTTTGCAAATCTAGTTTCTTTAATGGTTTATTTTTAGGAGTCATTTTTGATTGGATTCTGCAATCTTTTTTTTCAATATTATTGTAAGCATAGACTCAAAAAATATGCCAAATACCTAGGAAATACACTGATATAATTATTAAGGCTTTCTGGAGTTTGTAATTTATTTATATCTTTTTTAAGATATTTGTATAATTTTTGTCTCATTTCCTAGCTGATTTCTTTATATTTTTCTCATCCAATTCCTTTTCTTAAAATTTGATAGGGATTTGATTTAATTTCATTGCTATTCTTAATATAAAATAACTTGAAGGTTTATCAGATGTATTAGATATGTCTGGTTGTAATGCTATTGTAGATTTATTTTTTGAATTAAATAATAGACTAATTTGTGGTAAAATTACCATAAAAACATTTTTTTGATATTCAAAATTTTTATTATTTGCAACATGTAGAAGCCAATTAGCTAACATTTTTAAATTTTTTTTTATATCCTTCTCATAATCTCTCCTTTTTTTACATAATAATGTTTCTTGACCTCTTCTTAGTCTAATATGAAATTGTTCTTCCTTGTGTTTATAATAATTGCAATATACTTATTGAGAATTTTTATTTTTATCAAAAATATGTTCACATAAAAAATTAAATAGTTCTAACGTATTACAATTAAATTGACCATTATAGACCACTTGAATATTCCTTTTAATTATCTTTTACGAATATTTCTCATACCCTATACCTCATATAAAAAAATAATAAAGTTTTTTACAAGTAAACACCTTTTTTGTTAAAGTACATTTTGACTCGTGTCTTTTAATTGTTTAAAACCCAGATCATAAAGATTTTTTTGATCATTATTAAAATGATAACTACAAGCCTAGTACTCTAACACACTATCTGCTTCAATAATTCTTTCTCTATCTATTTGATATACATTACAAAGTTGCCATAATATTCGAAAACTTTTTGAATTTTCACATTTTTTAATATACTTATCGATCTTATTAACAATAACACACTGTGTTAAATTTTTAGATGCTTTTTGTTCAATAATTATATCATCATCTTCTGAATTATTTCTAAAATTGAATCATTATTATTAGATATATTACTATCTGTTTCACTTGTGTCTTCTATATCAATAACTTTTTTTTAAATATTCTTCATTCAAAGAAAAAGTAACTTGTTCAATTTCAGTTTCAAAGATATCATATATAGCTTCAGCAACTGTGTTTTCATCATCAAAAAGATAATATTCTTTGTTTTCTTTTGGTAAAATGCTTGATATTCCTAAAAGTAAAGCTTTTGAAACATTTTTGTGTGTTTCATTTAAAGACATTTTAGAATTTAAAATTTTATATGTAAACTTTGTAAATAACCTTATAGTTGAGATCCTTTTAAATTAAACACAAAAATTGTGTTCTAACAATATACTTACTTTTAAAAATATTCTTTTTTAATTTGTAACTAGGTCACATTCCTAATTAGCCACCCAATAATTTTTTATTGTATATGAAACTTCTGCTATTTGACGATTTTTATATAAAATTAATAATGTAGTATTTCAATCATTAATAATTAAAAATTTTGATCGTTATATAACTGGATTTGTCTGGTAATTGATATTATCAAGATTTAATTTAGTCATTTTTGAGAATATAACTCGCAAAATGCACAATTTTTCATATTTGCATTCTTTTTATATTTTATATTAATAAGATTTCGTTTATAAATAATCCAATTTTATAATGATAAATAAGGATAGCCATGTAGCAGATTACTCATTATATTAAAAGTTCAAAAACTTGAAAATTAAGAATAATTTTCATAAAAATCTTCATTTTACCGATTGTTAAATACGCATAACATAAGTATTCAAAATATTTTATCACAAAAAACTTTTAATTGAATCAGAAAGCAAGTTCTACCAAGAATGAAATTTTTAAGAGAAATTAAAGAAATTTAGAAATGATACATACGAGAATAGCCAAGCAGTAAAAAACAAAAGTTATTTTTGATTTAGAGTATATTGCAAATAGGAGTATATAGTATTTAATTACAGTATGATATTATATAAAAAGTAAGGTACAATAAATTATTTATAGGTATGATCAATTATATAGATACATATAATGAATTATTAATAGCAATTATTAACTACATTTTTGGTTACATTTTAAACTAGTAAATATATTTGCTTAAATTAACATTAATTTACTTAGATTTTTTATTTTTTTAGCGCGTTTAATTCATTTTTTAGATAGCAATATTTGTTGTTTTAATAAAATATTTTTAATAAAATAATTTGCCTTTTTTTGAAGCAAATACTGAATTAAACATATATCAATATATATTAGATAATATAATTAATTTTAATTTTAAACATTATTAAATAATAAATATAAGATATTTACAAATTAAAAACAATTAAGTATAATATATGATTGTTAAAATTAAGTCTAGTAATACTGCAACTTTGAAAATCTGAGACATGATGAAATTTATTGAATATAATCTTTTTTTATTTGTTAAGAGAAAATAATTTGAGAGATAATATAAATTTAGATTATATATATGATATAACATCATAAAAATCTATAAGAATTAAGAATTAATGAAAAAAAAATTTATATAAATAAAGTTGCAGGTATGTAAGTTGCAGGTATATACTAAGTTGCAGGTACATTTTTTAAATAAATAGAATCATACTATACACGCAATATAAATAGTATACAGAGTTATAGATATAGTATGATTAGTAAAAAATATTCATACCTGCAAAATTTTATAATATAATACCCAAATAATGAAATTGTAATGTAACTATTTGAAAGATACTTTGCAGATAGTGTGGTTTGCAAAATTTAATTCTATAATATTACAGTACTAAAAACAAGTACTGTTATTATACTGTTTATATTACAATACATATTTTGCTAAACTGCAAAAATTATACTATATGTACCATACGAACTGTACCAGCTTACCAATAATTATCAGAGAATAAGTGTCTTTTAAGAGACTTGTAGCAGTATTTTTTCAATTAATAAATCATTTGGTATACTCAGTATCAGTAAAGAACTTGATGATGTTATACAATACAGTGTCATCTTTAAGAATCTTATTTGAGACTATCTAAGAATCGTTTCATAAAAGTATAATCATTCGCAGTTGAAATTTGAAAATTAATCCAACATCTTAACAATTTTGGATATTCATAACCTATACTGGAAGTATAGATGTTTAACCTACACTGGGATTTACAATAAGTTTTAACAAATTTTATTAAATAAAAATTGATTTGTGTAATATTATATAATTTATATTATCTTTGTAAATAAAATTAATATTGTACAACAAACAATAAACTCTTGCTTGCATTTTTATATAAAATCTGAAGAGATGTGTGTTCCTAAACTAATAGCTTAAATATATTTATAAATCATAATGATTTTATAGCACAAGTTCAAAATTTTGTAAATTTTTATAATTTTCAAATACGAAAAGATAAAGTAGAACACGATAAAAATAATAATATTAAAAAAAGAACTATATTATATTTATGCATAGGTATTGTTGAACAAAAAAAAGAAAACAATCATCAAAGAGATCAATCGTCATTCTCAAAGATGTAATTGTCCTTTTATGATTAGAGCATCATTTAATTTACAAGCAGGTCTTTAATATATTTTAACTATAAATTTGAAACATAATCATAAAATGATGATTTCTAAGCATAAAAAATTTTTAAATAATCAAAGAATAATTCCACAAGAAATTAAAGATCGAATTAAAATTTATCATCAAGCAGGTTGTAATGTATTAACTATCAAATCTATTCTTAAACAAGAATATTAAAAATTGGAAATATAGATTTATAATGATATTTATAACTATATATATCAATTAGATGATAAATTACAGTCATTTTTTTTGAAGCAGATGAATTTATTAATATATTAAAGCAATTTAAAAGTGAAATTAATGGATTTGAATATAAAATTAAAGTGATGAAAGTTCAAATGAATTACTTCAAATAATTTGGATGTATTCAGAATAGAAATGATAATATTGTAGATTTTTAAATATAATTATTTTTAATATATATACAAAATTAATCGATTTAATATGCCATTTGGAATTTTTATAGAAGTAAACAATTTTGGTCAAAGTATATATTTTGCTAGAACTTTAATGTGTCAAGAAACAATTAATAGTTTTACATGAAAATTTAAATCATTTCTTAAAATAATTAATAATAATCCACTAAAATAATACTTATAGATAAAGATAAAGCAATTTTTAAGCTATATAAAATGTTTTTGGTTAAAATAGTAAACATGTATTATGTATATGATATCTTTGAAAAAATGTAATCAAAAATTTATGTAGTATATTAAGAGCAAATTGGTATAATTTTTCAAAAACATTTTATGAATATACAAAAGAATATGAAGTTAATAATTTTATAATTAAATGGCAACAACTTTAAATAAACTTTTATATTGTAAAGCATATTTAGAAAAAATGGATAAAGTAAAAAAAAAATGGGCACTTTGTTTTAATAGAAATATATTTTTAGCAGATATGACAAGTATACAGCATAAAGAATCAATGAATAGTCTTATGAAAAATTATATAAATGCAACCAATTTATTTTTGGATTTTTTAAAAGCTTTTAAATTTGCACTAGTATAATGTGATATTGTTTTACAATTATTTAAATATTGGCAAAATCTATTTAATGTTTATTTTAAAAATAATGAGTTCATTTGAATATCAAACAGCAGAAATATTAACAAGTTACACATTAAAATTAATACAGGAGCAATTATTATAAGCATTTAATTATTCTTATATAGAATTGTTTGATTTAAGATATTTTAATTATAATGTATTTTATTTTTATAAAATTTATTTAATTTAATTTAATTTATTTTTAATTATTTAGAACTTAAAATATTCAATTATTTCATAATCATTGATTTAATTATAATTACAAATCTGAAAGAAAGTACAATATAATCAACAATAACAATTATTTTTGTGTTCATATAAATATACAACTTTTTTTGGAATTATATATCAGCATATATGTTATGTAGCAACACAAATGAATTTAAATAAATTGCTAAATTCATTATTTTATTAATACTAGCAAAAAAATCCAAATAATTTTGTTTTAACATAACAATTTAATTGTTTTGTAGTAATAAATTAACAAATAATTTGGGTTTCTCAGAAATAGAAATTGTTAAAGACTATGAATATTTGTTAACAAAAACTTTTTATAAAATAAAAAGTTTGATAAAAAAGTATTCAGAATTATCCAAAGAATTTTATTTTACAAATAATACTTTGTTGGAAATTAAATTAAAAATTATTCATCAAACTTATCAAACAAAGATAATACTTTATAACATATAATCAATAATCCTAAAAAAAAATAATAATTTTAAAAAAAAAGGTATTTATAATTAATATTTTTTAGTTTATTGATATTATAATATATTATTTTATTAATTTTAAAAAATTTTAATTAAGGAAAAAAAATTTAACAAAAAATTTATCAAATAAAAAGCAAAAAAATTCAATTGCTAATTGTAGTGATAGTGTTTATCAATATAAGAAAAAGAAAATATTACAAATTATTGAAAAGATGATCATATATTTAATATGCTAAATTTAACATATGAAGTATTTTAAAATTTATCACGATATTCGTAACTGAATTAATGAATATGAAAATAAATAATATAAATATTAAAAATAAAAAAAAGGTATATTTATTTTATAAAACTTATGAATTTTAAATATAATAATATTAATAATTTTTTTTAATACTTTTAGATGAATTATCATATCCTTTTTATAATTAATCTTTACCTAATCCTTTACCAAAATAAATTACTTGAATATTTAAAAATATTGCAAAAAAAATAAATTTATATTTAATTTATTTCTATAATAATAATATTGATTATATTAAAATATTTTGATTTCTTTAGAAAAAATATTAGAAGTTGATTGTATAGGAGTTTTATTTTATGCATTATGCAGAAACAAAAATTATTCAATTAGGCATAGAGGTAGGTTATTCAACAAATATCAATTTTGAAATTTTATCAAATCGGGTTAGTAATATTTAAGATGATTTGTTAGATATAATTAATTGTAAATTAGCAAGTTAGTTTCACAATTTTTCATTATCTGTTTATAATGAAATTGGATTTTGAAAAGCAAATACACCAATGATGATAATGAAAAGAAGTAAAAAATTAAGAGTAAGTTTTAATTTATAAATATATTTTTTTATAATATATTTAATACATTTGTTTA